CCCAACCCCTCCCCCAGCCTGCCCTTGGACACTGCCGGGGATGGGGCATCCACAGCTTCTCTGGGCAACCTGTCCCAGTGCTTCACCACCCACTTGGTGCATGTATTTTTGTCAAAGCTGCTGCCTCGACAAGCACAAATTTCCTATGGAGGTTTTAGATCCTATCAAGTGAGTTTTCACAGTTCAGGGCTTGTTTATGCCAGGCTACAGGCTTTCAGCAACTGCTCTCCCTGTATTTTTGTATTTTGGTCTTGTTCTGCTTAAATTGATAGAAAATCAGATTAACCTGAAACAAACTACTCTTGTGGATGTGCATGTGAGAGCACATGCAGCAAAAGGTGTAAGCTTGGAAAGTGCAGACTTAGCTGATCTGCAGATTTTTAAGGTCTGCTTCCACAGATTAGTCAAGATCAGGCAAACTGTCAGAAGAGGGGTCACGGAAGGGATGGAAGGTGTAATAGTGAGCTTCGTGTGTGGTGTTTTGGAGAGGAGCCCCTTTCCTTAGCGAGCTCCATGTGCTGGTCTCTCATGGCTTTGGCTGAATGTGAGACTCCAGAAAAGGCAGTTTTAGTCGCGTGCTGTCGAAGCCACGGAACGGCACTTGGTGTAACGGTGGGGGAGCAGGTCAGTGCTGGAATCTGTGTAACCTCACCCCTTTTCGTTCCCTTACCTGTTTGCACCATCACTAGCTTTTTGCACTTGCAGGGACCTTTTATTCTCAGGACTGCCTCTGGTCCTCAGGCTGTATCTCTAGAGCACAAGTGTCAGCCTGAAAGCCACCTTGTTGGATGTGAGATTCTGTGTGCCTTAGGAAATCTGCTGTTAAGGGGCAAATTTCATTCCAGAGGCAAAGGGCAAAGATATCTCCTCAGCTTCTGGCTCGGCACCCCGGTGGCAGCTGGAAAGGGAGAGGGACAAGAGTAGCTGGGTGCTGCTGAGATGCCTGACGAAGGTGTGGGACACCCGATTCCCAGGTTGGAGGTGAGGAGGGAAGAAGGACACCTCCAGACATCTGAAGGTTGTGGGTGATTCTGAAATTTTTTCCTGTGTCCAGGTTTCTTTTGGTGGTGACTTCTACCAGCTCTCATTAAACAGTAGCAATTAGGAGCCTTAGAGGGAATGTTTCCCTGCAGGCTTGGAGCTTCGGTGCTGTGCCAGTAGGCGCTGAGCTGACAGGAGTGGCCCGAAGGGCAAAGTCACGCCAATAGCTTGGGGAGGGAGAGGCACTACTTAAAGACAGTGTTGGCACAAGGCTGAGCATGGGCCGTCCGTTCGGGCTGGGAAGTAGAGGAAGGGTTGTAACCACTGGAGGAGCAGGTTTTGGAAGGCTGTCCTTTAGAAACAGCACGTGTGTGTTGGAGCTAAGTGCTGAACGGGTCTTGCGATGGGACGTGATTGTCCTGGGGTGGCTGGCTGGGCCTGCAGAGGCTTGGAGGCCCACGTGGTGCGGTGTGAAACGCTCCTGGGAGTTCAAGAGCCAGGATGGGTACTGCTGTCCTGGATGCTGGGCAGAGCTCGTGCACTGCCGGGCTGCTGCCCTTCCTCACGTGCTGCTGGAGCCTGACGGTTCTGGCAGCTCTTCCCTCCATATGTGCTTGTGTATTTATACACACACACATTTATAAGGCTCCCTCTGGAGCTCAGTCTCCTCTCTGAGCAGACCAGGTGCTCCTTGAAGTCCCTTGTTCTTCATCTGGCCTCACCCTGCAGCCAGCCCAGTAGGACCTGAGCTTCAGGAAGAGTGAAAGTGTCTCAACTTTGTCTCCTTGGTGTCTTTCTCTCCTTCCCCAGGAAGAAACTGAAGTGAAAAAGAAGTGACTGAAAAAGAAATTAAGGAACTATTTGAAGGAACAGATTCATTTCTCAACAAGATCAAGTTTGAATTAAATGGCTGATAAACAGATCAGGTAACTTCTAAAAAAACTTTTGAGTTTTTGGTTGTGATTTTTTCTTTTAAAGTCTTTCAACTTAATCCTTTTTGTCATACAGGAGGTTGGAGGAAATCACCTGATCATCTCTTCTGGCCTTAAGCAGTTGTGATTCCTTCCCTGCTCCTTTCTTACCTGCTTACTTCTTGTTTTCTTTTCACCCTTCTCGTGTTTTCTGTCTTTGCCATGTTGTCCCATCTCTACTTTCTTCAGTTCTTTTTTCTCACTGCCATTTTCTTTCTGCCGTCTGCTTTATACCCTGCACGAGTCTCTTCCTTTTTGCTTCCTCTTTCAAAGGTCAGCTTGACCTGCTAACTTCAGCTTGCTGACATCAATGGAGCAAAGCCAGCTCCTTGACCAGCCAAGGATGCAGTGCTTGTAATTACAAAGTCCATGTAGATGTGGCCTTGTGCCCTTCTAAAGCCAGTCAATGCTTGAGTGATTGCAGGAACATAAAGTACCAGTAATAATTAGTGACACTTCAGTGCACAGCAGAGACTTAAGAATGTTGTCCTGGCATATGAAAATGCTGGATTTGAGTCCTCCCTGGAAATTAATTGGGATGAATTTTCTGAAAAATATACAGTTGCACCCTTAGCTTCCTAAAAACCCTCAGGTGGGGATGTATCTGCACAGTCCTGCATGTGGGTTTAACTTTCTGCTGCTTGTGAAGTTGCCCCAGATAAGTGCCTCTACGTGCTGTGGGATTCCTATGGGTTTTTTGTCGTCCTCTTCTGACATCTACTTTTCCATGTTACCATCTCGGGACAGAAGGGTTCAGTGGGTGAATGCAACCTGGTGGCAGAGGGCCAGGACTTGGTAATGCCTGAATGCTCCAGGCAAGAGGGCTGCCCCTTCTTAGCATTTGCCACGATTAGGATACCTTCCTGTGTGTCTGCCTTCTGCGAATGAAAACAGTCCTGAGCTGCACTGATAACAAGACAGCATCGTGGAGTGTTTATGTGTGTAATTTGCCTGTCATCAGTTACCCGGTTTGGAGAGCACTTGGCACTCTTCTCTTACACCGTGAAGGGCATGCTGAGATTCACTTCCTTGGAGCCCGAGGGGTGTAAGTCCCTGATAGCCGCAACAGAGCCAGAAGATGTCTGTGGCCATTTGAAACTTGGTATTTTGAAGGAGGGGGAGGTGCATCCTCCAAGATCTCCCCCAGTGTGCCCTTGGCAGTGTGAATAGGAGCTTGCTGGCTACAGGGACTAGTTAAAAGGGCTGAAGAGGAGCACTAGAAGAAGTGTAGTGCCTTTCTACCCCTTCTTGTGTTAAACAGCCTGTGCTGTCCCCATTTCACTAAGCCTTGTGCACCTGGGTAGTGAGAGGCAGTAGCTGCACAGAAGTTGAATAGGACAGAGAGACCAGGCACAGTGGATTCTCATCCCATGAGAAAGCAGAGAGCACTGAGGTTAAGAGTGGCTAACTGAGTCACAAGGGAAAAGGCTTGAGATTCAGGTGCATTGCCCTCTCTCTCGGGTTCTTCGCTGGGCCCCAAATCCCTCACCTCTCCTGCTTAGGTCATCTCTCCTGTCTACGCGACCACAAGTCTGCATGGTCACAGGCAGCCAAGCCAAGGAGATCTGTTTAAGCTTGGAGGATCTACCCAATCCCTCTTCCCTTGCAGCATGCATCTGTCATCCCTTAGCAAAAGGGGATTGATACCAGAAGTGGTGGTTTGCTGCAAGGTGGGATCAAGGGCATTGCATTTCTGCAGCATTGCGTGTGAAACTTGATCTCAGCATCTCACCCAATACTGCTGCATAGTCCGTCTGTACTAGTCTCCCTCTTCAATTCCCAGTGTGGGAACCTGGATGGTTGGATTCAGGTGTTATGGGGGCCTTGAACAAGAATTTCTCACCCACAGACAGAGCGAGAGGATCTCTGCAGCCCATGTTGCCCAAATTTTAAGCTTGACCAGGTCCATCAGGCTATTCCCCTTTATTGCTGGGGTCTGTGCAACTGGAGAGTCTTTTGCACTTACAGTTTCAGCAGGCAAGATGTTTGCCACATGTCTGTGTCTCATTCCCACCTGAGATAAACCATGTGATGACTTCACTGTTGGAGCAGATTGAGAGGCAAGTGTCTGCCTGCTCCGGGTGTTTCAGGGACACTTAGAAGGAATGACAGTGCTGAGACTGGAAAGGGGCACTTGCACATTGCAGTCTGTGACATGCCAGCAGTGACTTTGGAGAGGCTGATGTGATCCTGTCTTGAAACACCCTCCTTCCCGGTGGTGCTTCCATCCTGACACACTTTTATCTGGTCTCTAACCTCCTTCAATGTGACTGTGGGTTAAATAAGGAGAGAGCCATGGTATGAAGCTTACTGTTTGAAATTTTCCCAGGTCCTGAGAACAGGTTGAGCGTAGGATTTCGCAGGCAAATCCATTCCTTTCTCAGACTGTGATGCAAAATCCCTGAGGCAACACAGTCTCAAAGTGGTGAGGTCTTGCAGTCAGACCCTGCGCTGAGCTCATGCACTGATTTGGGCCTGCCTTCCTAACATGCTGTGCTCGGTTTAATCTCGGTCAGTACTGTCTTGTTTGGGGATGTGGGCTGAGCTCAGATCTGTCTGCCTGTCCTCGGCATCTCTTCTTCCAGCTGCGCCAGCCTTGGGGCTGTGTTGTATTGGTGTGGTTGTTGAGGAGGAGGGAGCTCTGGCTGCAGGAGAGTGGAGGCTGAAAGGAGTTTCCTGGAGTGTCAAGGAAACACTTGTGGGCAAAGACTTTTATTTCCAGCCTTCTTTTATCTGCTTCCCCCAGGGAGACCTCAAGTTGAAACACTTGAGTCTCCATATCCTGCCTTTTCCTTGAGCCTGGAGCTGAGAGGCAGCTCTTCTAGCCTGGCCACTTATCGATCCTCTCTGCGATTGCCTCTCGATGCAGAGCGCTCTGCAACACCGTTGGGAGGGAATGTGTTTGCAGAGCTTCACCCCACCGTGCTGTGGCCAGCCTCACCGCTGCTGCTTCCAGTGAGTAATGCAGTCTGTGTCCCCATCCAGAGCACCTTGTCACCGTCAGGGAAGGCAGCATACCCGTTCCCCCTCATCTCAGCATCACCGGCTCACCCAGCTGCGATCTAGGACTGCTGTCAGCCGTCACTTTAATATCCAACACATCCTGTGTTCAGGGAGCCATATCCTGTGCTTTATTGGAGGGAGCTGACTCAAACAGGCTTCCTTTTGTGTTTGTGTGTAGTGGTTTATTGAGCATATAAGTGCTGGACATTTTCATAATTGAATTTGCTGGGAACCCATGTTTAGCTGATCTGGCGTTCACTCAGTGCTACTTGTAAGAATTCCCTGTGGGAATACAGAGGTGAGTGGAAAAAGCCCCGTGTTTTGGAAGCACACGCAGCCAGCCAGGTTTTGATTTCCCCGAGAGGTATGAGCTCACGTCTCTGCATCTGCGGCTGTGCAGGCTGCCAGGCCGGTGGTTTCGCCGGGCTATTGGTTTGTGTGTGTTCCCCTCGCCCTGGGCGGTAGGTCTGGAAAGAATTTCCTGGAGCTGCAGCCGTCTGCTCCCGGGCTGCCAGCTGGGTGCTTCTGCTGGGCTCGTTCCCGCATGATGATAGCAGCTGACGTGTCACGAACCTCTCATTAGTTGTGTGTCTGATTGCGGTGCTGAAAAGCATTTGCCAGTAAACCTGGCTTGGATGCCATCAGGCCCTAACTGAAGTCTGTCCACATGGTAGGCTGTTCAGCACTCCGTCTTTTCTCCTTAGGGACAACAGAAGCCCTTGGCTACCGAGGAACAGGGTTTTTCCTTGCTCTTAGTGATATGTGGCTTAGCTGTTTGGCTCTACTCCCCTCATCAGTGGTTTGTCCTGATGCTATATGCTGCTGTCCCTTCCTCCCCTGTATGTACAGCAAGGGCCAAGCTTTGCCTTGAGGCCGAGCTCCCTTCGTGCTGCGGAGGGACAGCCTTGTCGCACATCGATGCATTAACTCTGATCGTGGAAAAGAGCTCCGTTCTTTCCTCTTTCCTTCACCAGACATTACCCCAGTGATAAGACCTCTGTTTCTCTGCATCTCGTCCCCTTACAGTTTACCTGCCAAGCTGATCAATGGAGGGATAGCTGGGCTGATCGGGGTCACCTGTGTATTTCCCATTGACCTGGCAAAAACTCGCCTGCAGAACCAGCAGAATGGCCAGCGGATGTACACCAGCATGTGAGTATGAGCAGCATCCCCCGGGGCTTTTGGTGGGGAGTCCTTCCATTTTGTTACCTCTTTCAGTTGAATTCAGCGTTTCTAGGAACTGGGCTGTCTCCAGGAAAGCCAAAGTGGAATTTTTTAATTTATATGCTAGAGCAGATAAAGCAAATAAAGCAGCTCTTCTCTCACCTGCTGGGCACAGCAGCCTGCTCTGCAGAAGGCACATCCGTTTGCATCCCTTGTCTGGGAGCAGAGTGTTTGCTGCTGTCAGGACTTGGAACCAAAACACAAGGAGCCTCGTTCAGTTCTCTGCTGGGCCACAATCAAGTGCAGGAGGGAATTTCTCCCTTTTTTCTCTTTCCATGACTCATGTTTTCTCCACCCGGACAGAGCTGCTGAAGGGAGAGGCTGCAGTGCAGACCTCAGGCTGCGGGAAGTGCCCAGATCTTTCTCCTGGGGCAGGGAGAGGTGGCAGAACTGCATGCCCAAGGTGTGCCCGGGGAGAGGGTCTCCTGCTGCAGGTACCTGAGCCGCAGGAGGCAGTGAGAAGGCTGTGGGACATCAGGGAGGCTGAGAGGGACTTGGCTGGTTCTAAGTGCAGTCTGTAGTGCGCCCACTGCCAGCCAGCCACAGACTCACCCACCAGCACGTGCAGAAGGGAGAGGGACCAATACTGGCAAAGAATGGACAGTTGCAAGGGCAAGGACCAGCAGGAGGAAGAGACTTCCCCAAAGCCTGAGGTGTCCTTGCAGAACTGCTTCACCGCTCTGCAAATGGGAGAGGAAAGGCACGGCACATCAGGAGAGACGTGGGAGCCGAGTGAGACAGCCCGATCCTCTCCCCGTAGAACAACCAGCGCAACTAAGGAAAGGCAATGGGTGATAGAAGGTGTCTCTGCCCATGGCAGGGGAGTTGGAACTAGGTGATCTCTAAGGTCCCTTCGAGGTTACTGTCCCTTTCTTTTCTGTGTCAGTTTTAAGGAGAGGAAGCAGTCACCCATTCCCAGTCTAGAGCACTGCATTCAGACCTTCTGAAGGATCCCAGGCAGGCACAGGCTGTAGTTACCCCCACAGTCATATATCCAAAAGAACCAAGTGCTGCAGGCTGTAGGAAAAGAAGCCATTAATATATCCCGCCCACCAAATTCACCTAGGATTTGTGTGGGATGTATATGTGCTGTGGGAATGTACAACACACTCAGCACAAGATGTTTTATCCTCGAAACCAAAGTCAGGCCTTCATTTTCCAAAAGTGCTTGGTGTTGTTGAGGGGGAAGAGGGAACTGGGACTGACGTCTCCTGTCCTTCTGCCACTTTGTTCAGCAGTAGTGTTACCTGCTCCCTGTTCTTCACACCAATATTCTCCTCTTCCCTGCCCAGGAGAGTTTGGGGCGGAGTGGGAATAGGAAGGAAGTGCTCTGTGTGTTGATGTTTTAGTCTCCAGGCCTCCTTGCTCTAGCTGATGAGATGTAATTATGCATCAGCTGAGGTTGGAGACTCTGGTGTGCCACAGCAGATTGGTGTTTCACTTGACACTTACAGTGCTCTCTGCTCCCTATGTTGTTTGTGAGCCCAGTCGTGCTGGCAGAATGCAGCCTCTCTTTTTTGTCGTGTCCTGCTCCTGCCACTGGTGTGGATTGCTTCTCCTCCAAAAATCGCTTCTCCCCTGACAGGCGACAGCAACAGGAGTTGAGTTCAGGCAGGATGGAGGACCTGTAAACTTCCCTTGGGAGTGTGTGCCAGGATGCCTCATCTCTGGGGGGGTGGGGGCTCAGTAGGAGAGAGGCTTTTAACCTCCAGCAGTGAAGTGCAAATGCACCGTAGCCAGGAGTTGTTGTGGGATGAGGCACTGTGAAGGAATACACGGACTTACCCTGTATATTTGAGCTGGTTCCTCCTGAGTCTGTGCCAAAGCCTGGATGTGAATGAGTAATGCTTGAGGTGTTCCTCTGGCACTGGCAGCAGCTGTAGGGGAAACGATAGCAAAAGGGTCTTTTGGGGGGCGAGGGGCCAGCAGGGACAAGGAAGCGATGGGGATAACACATCCTCTAGATAACATCAGGCCGTCCGGTGTCCTGCCTAAGCAAGCAAGGAAGAGGCATTAAGAGGGTGCTGTTACGATGCATGGAGCGTCTTTAGAGATACCCTGACATTAGCTAGGGATTTGGGAGGCCTTGTCTGAGCTCCCCAGACAGGAGCTTGTTTTTTGAGGAAATACTGCATGCCCATCGATACCTGATCTCGAAGGTGTCTGCCGAACATCTGAGAAGGCAGCAAGTTCATTTAAAATTTTGACTGTCTTGCTTTAAGACAGCATTCCTTGCTTCTGCTCAGCTCCAGAGACCTTTGGGATCAGGGAAGCCTTTCCCTTGAAAGCCAAAAACGCTTTTGGAGCAGCCCTGAGGGCTAGGGAGAGCTGGGCTTTTGGGCTGCACTGCCCTAGCTACGCTATGTAGAATTTTAGCTGGCTGTTGACTCCCTTTTTTCCAGAGAGAGAAAGGAGCTGAGCATGACCTCGGCTCCATCTCACACTGCTGCAGCTCGAGGTGCTGGGAGTGATGTGCAAACCTTACAGTGAGGCAGCAGGGCTGTGTGAGCATGCTGGGGAGCAGCTCTTCCTGCTCTCCTCTCTGCTGCAGCTTATTCAAAGCAGCACCACTGGCTTGGGGAAAACGCCTTGCCTCCAGCATTGTGGTGCAAGAGCTTGCTGGGAGTGGATAGGAGAAAGGTGCCCTGAGATTTCTGGGGCTTGCTGATGTGTTTGGGGGACTTCTCCTAAGAATACAAGCTGCAGGAGCTGGGGTGGGTGAAAGACAAGGCCCCACAGGATGCTCTGTCCCCAGCAGCAAGGGGGAAACTCATTGCCACGACTGGCAGCGATGCAGGATGGGCTCTTCACAAATAACGTGGGGTACCCTAGAACAGTCTTGGCCCATGTAGGGCCATAAAGCCCTCGAGGGAACTCTGCATTTCCTTCTTTCCCACCTCAGCACTACTACCGAGTGGGGATGAAGTTTACTCCTCGTGTTGCCAGATCTCTTAGAAATGTATTCTTGTTTTCATCAGCAACATTTCCCTTAATACTACTTGAGAGCCTTTTGTTCCTTAATTATGTATGCAGGAGTGCAAGTGCACCTCTCCCTGTCCCTGTGGCCATGGCAAGTAGCTGTCCCTTCCCAAAGACCCCAAAGCAACCTTCAGCCAGCGCCCGGGCTTCATGCAGCCACGGTTCAGAGAGCGAAACTGCCAGCGGATCTGCACTGCCTTCCCATTTGTTAGGTGTGTGTCTGTGCCTTTGGAAGGATTTGAGCCATTCTGGCGCTCTGCACGGTTTTCTCATCTGCAGTAAGCGTAGTTGAAACAAAGAAGGTGACAGTTTTCCTCTCCGAGCAGATCCCCGCGGCACCCAGCTGTGCTCTCCCCAGGGCAAGAGCCTGGGCGCTTGCTGCCTGCTGCGGGACCCAGCGTGTTAAAAGTAGGCGCTTTAATCTGCGTGGGAGGTCACAGATGACTGAGACGTTCAGGTCGTTTAGTGTTTGTGGGCCTTGTGTTGCATTTCACGCAGGCAGTCAAGCAAGTCATCACTGGGGGTTTTGGCCTTCCCTTATTTCTCTTCCAATGCTGGATTTAAAATCGTGTGCACAGGGATCTGCTGGTTAGAGCATCTCACTGCGTTTGCCACAGGGGGACCCTGGATAAACAGGCCTGGCAGTGACACTTTTCTGTGTTTCTAGAAAGCAGACAGCGCTTGTGGGGTGAGCCAGGGGTTTCACAGCCCCTGTGAACGGGCGGCTGAAGTTGAGCTCGGGCCTGAACAATGGCACATGCAGCGGCTGACGTGGTTCCCTTCTCGGCTCGGGGTTTTGCTGACAGATCGTAAATGAAAACCACTCGGAGGGATTTGTTTTGTTTTTCTCTGCTCTCACCCACCTTTGAGCTCTCTGTTTTGTTTGCAGGTCTGACTGCCTCATTAAAACAATTCGGTCGGAAGGCTACTTCGGCATGTACAGAGGTAAGCACAGCTGAGCTAGGCATGGCACAGCTTTTGCATTGGAACCACTGGTGTGGAAGTGTGAGGAAAAGCCCGTATTCTCTGGTTTACAAAGCAACAGGACACCTAGCAGTGTCCTAAGATGTTGAAAGGTGCAGCGGTTTCTGAAAATAAAATCTGCTCAGCTCTGCACTGTTGAGGGCAACTAAACCCTCAGTGTTAAACCTTGCCTTTACTCAAGTTCATCTTTACCAGCAGTTTCACTTAAACTTTGTTTCAGAGCTCTGTGTGTGTGTTTCCGAGCTTGGGAAGGGTGAATTTTGTCAGTGGGGCAGTAGCAAACGTCTTGAAGAGTCTTACTTCGCGGTTGTTGATTGACTTTATGTCAGCAGTGAGTTCCTCAGTTAACGTTACACCTTTTCTAGTTCAAACACAAAATCCTTGAAAGTTTTTAAAGCTTTTGAGGAGAGAGGAACAGCAGGCCAAATTCTGACTTTACATGTAGCAGAGGAAAATGTGGAATACCTTCTTGGCTTTCAGCACAGTCGAATTGGTTTAGCTGACACTGAACTCTGGTTCATTTAATATACTGCTATTCCATTGCCTGAATATGCCGGTTTTATCTCTGAGGCATTCTGATAGCATTCTTTGTGGCCCTCATTCACTGATAAAGCCTGATTAAAGGACTGCTTTGATTAAGTGAGTCCTTGCTCTTTGTTTTTTCAAGTGGGAGTCAGGATGCTGGCACCTTGTGGTTGGCAGCAGTAGAGCCTCTTGCCACTTCCATAGCTCCTAAGGAAACCCAGACACTGCAGCCAGCCATCCTGGGAGCAGGCACAGCCTGTTGAGGCAGCGTCTCTTGCCCAACTTGCTGATGGGCGTTTCGGGGGAGTGTGGTGGATGCTGGGGATGGATTGGCTGCTTTGTGCCCCATTTCCTGGGAGCAGGCAACGAGACAAATAACCCCGAGGAACCTTGGCAAGCTCCATCTTCAGTGCTAACAGTGACGCGTTCCCCCTTGATTTTTCCCAGAAGCTGGCTGTTTCTGTGTTCCTAGCCAAGAACAGAGCCTGTGTTAACTTTGGCTGTAAATATGCAGTGGCAGGCCGCTTGCTGGGGAGCAGAAGGAAGAACCTGTTCCTGGAAACTTACAGGAAAGGGTGTAGGACCCATCAGGGCTTTTGGGAGAGACAGCTCAGTCCTGTAAGGCGTGGGGTGATGGAGGGGATGTGCATCTCCAGGCGGCTCTTCTCTCCCAAGCAGAAATCTCAAAGGATGCAGAGGGTTTTGCATAGCTCTTGTTTTTCCCAGCCATAATGAGTCTGGTCAGTCCCACTAACTTTGTACCCCCTCTGTTCAAGGAGCTTGAATTTACTTGTCACCTCTGACTATTAACTGGGGAGCTGAGTCTGGGGAGGGCTTTTGTGAATAGCACCAGCTCATTCCAGAAATTCATAGATACTTCAGCATGGCCGGGGTGCAAAGGTGAGTCCTGCAAGTACAGCAATCCTGGTCTCTGTGCCTCAGTTCTGCGAGCTGGCATTTGCAGCCCTTCCCTCCCCATCCGGGAGAGGATAGGTGGGTAAAATATATCCAAGATCTGTGAAGAATTGGGGTGCTTTTCTGGGAAGAAGGTAAAGAGATGGCTCAGCCTTGCAGACAGGGGAGGGTGGATATCAGATGGTGGGATTTGTTTCGGCTCCCTCCATCTGTCCCAGTTCCCCAGCAGAAGTTGCTGTATGACTCACAAGCTCTTATTTTCAGCCTTTGAGCTGAAATTGGGAGGATTATATGTCGATGTGCTAAAGTGGCAGCTGCTGTGCCCCGTGGAGGAGTCACAAGCGCGTCCGTCGTGACAGACAGAGGCACTTGGGCTCTGTCGGAGGGCAGAAAGGGTCTGCGTGGGTACAGCCGTTCCCACCGTGCGACTTCAGGTCTCCTTCACCTCTGAATCAAAACTCAGTGTGGATAGGAGAGGCTTGAGCTTGCAGGATGCTTTTCTGCAAATCATCTCAAGGGGTGCATGTGGGCAGAGAGTCCTTTCCCTGTAGGAGGAGCCCGTAAATGAATGGTGCAATGTCTAAGGCAATCCCAACATTTCTATCGAGTTCTTCCCCAAAAGTTACAGGGATTCTTGGGTTTGTTTGGTGGAGGAAGAAGAGGAGGGTGTTTTCCCCTTGTTTTTTTCTGTAACGTCTAGATAGCAGCAGTGCCTCAGAGCTGAGTGGTGCTGTCTAACCCTGTCTTTGCTCAAGGGATGACGGTGTGCTGCCTTCACACATGATGCCAATGAGTGACTCCATGGTGCCTGCGGGCTCCTGGATCATGTGGACACTAGCAGAAGAGAACCTCGAAGAGGTGCTCTCTCTGCTACAGCCCATCCAGAAGCCACCTATAGATCCCGGCACGTCCTGGGAAGTCCCACTGCTGGTTGCAGACCAGCCTTTTAGTGTAGCTGGCTACAGCAGTGTGGTAGCCTTCCCTGGCCTCTGCTAATAAACCTCCCATACGCCTCAGCACCGCGCTGGGGTGCTGTTACGTCCCAGTTACGTAGGTTGCTGGTATGTAAGGGCCTTGGAGAAATGTGTTTTAATAAGAAAACCCAAGGCTTGGTGAGAAGAGGGCACTTACGAGTTCAGTTGGCAACCGGCTGGTTTTACCTCTGATTGATTTATCTCTTTGTTGCGCTTCCATACTTCTTTTCAAAATACTCTGTATTTTCTGATGATTGCAATAGCCTTTTGCGTTCTGTTTGTCTGTCATTGCTTCTGATACATTTAGTGTTTCCTATAGGCCAAGCTTAGCTTTAATTAGGGGAATAGTGTCATTGGCATAACTAGAATTGAAGACTGTGAGATTTTATTAAAAAAGGTAGAAAATGCCATGGAGAGCATACAGCCAGCAGCTAAAGCATCTAATTTCTCCTCCTCCGGTGAATTGAGGCTGTTATGGATTACTGAGGACAGGGATTATCCATTCTCTGCTAAGCAGCTTTACTGAAAATATCAGACATAGGAGAAAATCCAACTTCATTAACTTTTCTCTGTATGTATTGTGTGATTTAACCCTCTGCTTTATTTGCAATTGGAGAAGTTGCTGCAAAAACCTCTTGGTTCCTGCAGGAGGTCAGCGTGCAGAAGCATACTTCTTGCTTACCCTTCTTGCTTGATGGTTTGTTTTCTTTCTTTCAATGAACCCTTTGCCCTGGTGTTAGAGTAGCTGGTTTATTCTTTTTTTTTTCTTTCTTTCCTTGTTTTTCAAGGAAATGGATATTCATGCTGCAGGTCAGCAGTGTACAGGTGTTCTAGCCAGTAGTAATGGGGTTGAAGTTGTCTTCACCTTGGAAGAAAACACTTTGTGGGTAACCACTGCCACTTAAAAATCAAGCTGTGTGGATTTGCTTTGTAGATCCCAACAGGATTGGCGTTAAAAGGTGGAGGTAGCGCCTGTCTTTCCGTGTCTAATTTAGGAGTTCTTTAATAACTTTGGAGAGGGAGGAGAGTCCAACCTAAGGAGCAGAGGATTGAGTTGCCTTTCTTTAGGTGTGTTGAGCTGTTGCAGCTCCTGTCAACATGTGTTCAAACCTCCTGAAAATGAACCCCGCCGGGTCTTCAGAGCCTAGTGGGAGTGCAGGCTTCTCTGTTTGCTTCTCTTTGGAAAACAGAGCTTTGGGACAAGTTGTTTAAATATCTACAGCAAGCGTAAATGCAGAAGGTATACCCTAGTGTTCGTGTTTGTCCTCGAAAAGGTGTCTGTAGGCCATTAGCAAGTCTCAAGTGAAGCTCCTCGGGAGGGCTTGGATCTCCGGAGGCTTCATGCAGGCAGGGAGAGTTTGCGGTCTTCCATTGGCTTTTTGAGCTGTAAGATTTAAAAAGAGAATATTCTGGATTATTCTAATGGTGCAAAACCCAGTATGCTCAGAAGGGACTGGTCCTCCCCCCACCCCACTTCCCCCAGGGGTGTTTGAAAGCTGCATCCCAGCCGCTAATGCCGGTGTCCATGTCCCGCATCAGCCGGCCGGGTCACGCAGGCCTTTCATTGTGGCAAGCACAATACGGGGATTTGCTGTTTGTTGCTCCTGACAAAAGAGTGTTCCAGCGGGTGGAGGGACAGCCAAGGCTTGTTCACCCCCCAGGTCCCCCAGCAAGCCCTGCCAGGGTGCTGGGAGGGGAATTTCTGCATGCTGCAGCTTCTGGTGGACAAAAAGCCACTTCACCGGTAGCTGTTCTGAGGGTGACACCCAGTGGTGATACACAGAGGAAGCCACTTACTCCAAGGGTTGGTCTGGAGCTGGCTGACTTCTGTGGGGGTGAGCCAGTTGAGTTTACCCACCTCCAGGCCTTCCGGTGGCTCTGCCTTTTCTGGGCTGCTTGGTAAGCAAGCTGCTCTGCTTTTGGTGTTGGTGGGGCAAGAAGGTGAGGTTGGGGGGCTTTTGCCTCTCAGCATCACAAAATACGTGCCAAGGAGTTGGGATTGGTTATTAATCCACCTTGTACTCCATTCTAGAAGGTCTGATCTGCATCCTCCTGGATTCGTGTGAATGCATCCTTGGCTGAGAGAAGGGAATGCATGTATACATGGTGGGAGGTAGCAGTGAAGCTAAAGAAATTACAAAAAATGTATTGCACATAGAGTAGAAACACATCAGGGGATGTTTTTAAAAAAATAATGTATTGGGAAGTAGAAATACTATTGCTTTCCAGTGTTATTTCATGTTTCTAAACCCGTTTGGTGCATTGGGAGCTCTCCTTCAGTCCTTGGTTTTGAGCAGGAGTCGCCACACATCCCTGAAAGGTCTAGTTAATGGTTCCTTTATTCTCATTCTCCAATGTCCTTTTCCTCTCTTCCTTGCCCAGGGGCTGCAGTGAACCTGACTCTAGTGACACCAGAAAAGGCTATCAAACTGGCAGCCAATGACTTCTTCCGGCATCATCTCTCCAAAGACGGGTGAGTCGGGGGTGCAGACCTTTCATGTTAAATCTAAGATACCAGCTCTTGGGACAAGTCTGGTGAGACATCAGGGCAGAGGTGGAATGGGGTGATGTGATGACTGAAATGCGAGTTGACCTTGAGCAGTCAGCCAGCAATTACGTTCGGGCTGAGGATGTAATGTCTAAAACGGGAAGTGAAAAGCACTCCACTGGATGACTGCTTTTTATTCAAGCTTCTAAAAATAGTCCCAGATCTAAGCCAAGGTTAGCAGATCCAGAATTTGTAAGCAAAATATTTGAGAGGAACCCAATGGCACCGATCACTGCTCAAACAGCTGTTGGGAGGACCCTTGTCCTCAACATCCTATTGGATGCTGTTAGCTCTTTCTGGCTTGAACAGATGGCAAGTCAAATTCTCTAGATCCCAAACTTAGCATCGCTCTTGTCCTTTTGTAGCTTGAAAATAGTTTTTGGAAGGTCATGAGTCTGAATTGACAATGGGGACTCGCAGCATCGCCCAGCAGCTAACCTGCAAATAAATGCTGAAGGAATAAACTGATCTGTTTAACTTGCAGGTGGGGGTTGGTTCACGTGAACTAAACGTGAGTAAAAGCTAGCTGAGCAGCTGAGAGGGTCTGGGCCCTGAATATTTAATGCTGTTTTCACCAAGATTCCCTTGCAATTTGGAGAACACTTGTGTCTCCCTTCAGACTGAGACCTTTGTCCAGAGACAGCCAGTGAAGGGCTGCAGCCTGCAGTCCTCAGTGACAGTAGTTAGAAACCAGCCTGCCTAGGATGTGATCCCGACTCCTCACATCAGCAGCCATGGGGTGGAGCATCACTGAAAATGCAAAGCTCTGCCACAATGACTTGATTTAACAACTTCCTATCATGTACCACATCAGTATCTGCTCCTGCAGACCAGTGGCATGACAGCTTCAGTGGAGATCGTGGACTGACACAGGTTGAGGATCTGGTTTTCCTATGTACCTAATTTTTTTTTGTTCTGGAGTCTTTTAAAGTAGCAGCCAACGTAAGTCTGTGTGACTCATCGGCTTGCAGCTGTTTGTGATTTTCTGTCTCCTTGAAGAGTGTCTCTCCTGTGCTCTGCTGAGACAGTGGGAGGGAATGATGTCCTCGTTGCTCCTCGCTTCTACAGTAGATCCAATCCCTGCGGCAGACAGCGCAGAAGGTGCTGGCATACTGCAGTAGCAGGAGCACAGCCAGCTCTTTGCCACCACCTATGAAGTACGGGCTGAGCAGGTTGTACAGGGAAGATGAAAGGGATGCCAGGCTGCCACACCTTCTACCACCACTGAGAGAGTGGCCCATGGAAGAAATCAGATTGGCGCTGAAACACATTGGGCATTCTGTGACAGCAGTCACTGCTGTGATGTTTCAGCCATTAAGATCGGACGTGCCTGTCAGTAGATGTCCTGTACCATGAGAGGTTAAGAGTTCCTCACAGGATGAGTGTGTGTGTCTGCTGCTCAGTGCTGAGGCAGGCTTCGGGCAGGCTTTTGGGCAAGTGGGATGCAGCTGAGATCTTCACCCAGACCTTTTCCAGTTTGACGTTTGGGTTCCTGGCTGGTCCACACGTGCTGTGGATGATGTGTTGTGCTTGATTCAAAATAAAGGGGCTAGAGAGTTGTGCCAAGAGTAAGACACCCTGTTCTCCTAGAACACATGCACTGGTGGGACTGGTACTACAGTGACCTGGAGCAGGAGTGAGGCACTGCTCAGGCAGTGAGGAGCCTTTGTGTGTCGACATGAAGCATTTTTTAACTCCTTTAGAGAAAAGAAAGGTTTGCCCACAGTTAGGTGACAAAAGGTAGGCAGCATGTGGAGTTGGGGTCACTCCATGGGAGGCTTGGAGGAATGAAATCTGGTCAGCTCTGCTCGTGATGATAGCCAGCATGAGCTGGGAGTGGGGCACTACTCAGGCAGTGAGGAGCCTTTGTGTGTCGACATGAAGCATTTTTTAACTCCTTTAGAGAAAAGAAAGGTTTGCCCACAGTTAGGTGACAAAAGGTAGGCAGCATGTGGAGTTGGGGTCACTCCATGGGAGGCTTGGAGGAATGAAATCTGGTCAGCTCTGCTCGTGATGATAGCCAGCATGAGCTGGACAGAAGGGCAGAGCCTTTGTACTTAGTACTGCTGTGATAGACTGCTTAAGGCGTTGCTAACTAGAAATGTCACTCCACGGTGTGATGGGAAAGAAGATTGCTTGCATGTTGGCTGTGGCTGGTATAGGCTATGAAGCTGGGATCTAGCTGGAAGATCTGGTGCATGCCGTGACCTTGCTTAGTGCGTGGGGAGCTGGGGCTGGTGGACAAGGTCCCGACATTGCCAGTGAGGATAAGGGCCCTTAGAAACTGCAGGGCAGCTGCTTATGGGATCCTTTTCCTCCATGCTTGGGAACTCCCAGGTCTGGGGATGGAGAACGTAACCTGCCAGAGTGGTTGTGCCTGGCCATGCTGCAGTGATTGCATGCTACCTGTCCTTTGGCAGTTCACAGGATCTTTTCCCATGTGTAGCAAATAGGAATGATGGCAAGGGGCCATTTCATTGAGTCACGAAGCTCTGTGTACCCCAAGGGTTTGCCTTGCTCTTGCTCCTTCTCTCCAAACTGTTTGCAGTCTTCAGGTTTCTCCCTTGAGATGCCTCTGTCCCCTCCTCTGCAGCTGTCCTTGTAAGGCAGGGCAGGATTTGAAGTGCTGGCATCCAAACACCTCTCCTACCCAGGGCAAAACAGGGTACATACCTGCTGGCGCGTTGCAAGGCTGGGCCACATATTTCACATCTCCAGTCAAAGCCTAAGTATGAACAACAAAACAGCCCGAGTTAGGTGAGGATTCCAGCTGCCTGACACATCAGTGTGGTTTCATTTCTGGGTAGGTAATTGCAGCAAAGGTGGTACATGGCACGAAGTGCAGCTGCAGGAGTCAGGCTCAGTGTAAAGCTGGGGGCTGTTTTTTTCATGGTGAGCCACCAAGATCCTGGTTCAGCTCCGCCAAAGTCCTTTTTGCACAAGCCAGCCTGTCTGCTGTACATTCTTAGTGTGCTGTGCTCTTAGGCCGGCGTCCCAAAGGGTGCTCTGGTGCTTTTCTGACTCAGAGCTGCAAAAGCCTTCTGGGCCTGTCTGACATTGAATGCCTTTGTTGCTAAGCTTCTAGCACTTTTCTTGCTTGAAATGTGTTGCATGAATTGGAGATCCTGTCTGATAAAACATGCGTGTTCTGTCGGTGTTTGCTGACGGAAACGTGCTGAGCGTGTCCTCTGTGTGCAAGTGGAAGAATGTGTGGACCAGAGGGAGCATGGCAAATCCAGCATGACTGAAAATAGCCTAGTTACACAACAACTTTTAGTGTGCATTAATTATTATTATTTTATCCTTTGAAAAACTTTGTGTTGAAATGAACTTGCTTTTAAACTGCTGGGGGGGG